TGTGCTCAGCCCTGGGATCACAGTGATAAACTGTGAGCAGCTGATCCAGCCCCACTGGTATCTTGCCACCTTCTTCAGAAAAACCAGCACCTTTTTTTCCCTCAAAGCCTTTCTGGAAGCAGCAGATCCTGTTTAACTGGCAGCCAGTGAAAGAGAACACCAGGCCAGTGAGGACAGGAGGGACTATTTTAAGGTCCTTCCTTTTGTATCTCCATCTGAGGGCATGGCTGGAGCTGTGTCAAGCGAGGTTTAGGTTGAATATTAGGAAAAGGTTCTTCCCCCAGAGGGTTGTTGGGCCAGTGGTCATGGCTTCAAACCTGAGAGAGCTTGAGAAGTGTTTGGACAATGTTTTCAGGCACATGGTGGAATTCTTTGGGTGTCCTGTGCAGGGTCAGGAGTTGGACTGGATAATCCTTATGGGTTACTTCCAACTCAAGATATTCATGATTCTACGATTCTAAGGGGATTAAGGGGAAACCCAGGCTAAACACAGCAGTGGGACAGCCAAAGATATGTGGGGAGGGCTGTGCAGAGGGCACGGTGGGGGGGCAGATCCCATGGAACCATATGTGGTAGGATTCATTTACACTACCTTCACCAACCAGGGGGCAAATCCCACCTGGATCAGGAGCCTTGAGGATGTGGGTGTCCCCTACAACGACGTAAGCAGCACCTGATGGGCCCATGTTGTCAGGGATAAAGGCTCCCATCCCATGAACCAGCCCCAAATTGCTCCAGTGCTGCCTCCCCTGGGTGGGTGAGGAATGCAGTGACACAGAGCAGTGTCACATCTCGACCTGCCCACCTTCCCAGGCCATGCAGGGCTGTGGCCACCTCCACACTGGCCAAGTTGGACCTTTGTGGTAATGGCTGGACTGGGAAGAGCTGTGGCTGTGAGATGGGTCAGTGTGTGGGGGTGTGCAGGAGAAGGGGCTCAGGCTCCACTGTGGCACGAGGATGAAGGTGCTCAGAGGATGCTGCTATTTGTGCAGTCAGTGTAATAAAATGACACTGTAATTTTGTCATCAACAGCACTTCCCTCTGTCTTCCAGGTGCTGTGTGAATGTTAAGAGCGTGCTTAGTTCATTATCAGGTGGAGCAGGATTAAAAAGCCCATTTAATAAATGCAGGCACCACTTGAGAGAAGTTATTCACATCAGGGTGACACACTGGGAACAGAACAGAGGGATTTTAATGACAAATGAAGGCCAAGGGCCTGCCAAACGACAGCCCCACTTTGGTACATGAAAGCTCAGAGCCCAGGTATCAATTAAAACATCAAACCAGCTGAAGGTGGTGATGGTTCCTCGTGACCATCAGTAACCACGGCGGCCGAATTCATGGCTCTGATGGGCCTTGGGGAAAATCTGCAGGTCATTTCCTCATTGTTCTCAAAACCTGCAGCTGCTGTGTAACTTCACAGAAGCATAGAACTGTGGAATGGTTTTGGGTTGGAAGGGACCTTCAGGATCATCCAGTTCCAACCCTCCAGTTCCACCCAGTTCCTCCTGCTGCGCTCTGCAGCCCCCTCAAACCACCTCGCCCACTGCTGCTGCCCCAACAGCTCAGCACTGTTCCTGTCACTCAGGTAATTACAGAAGGGCTGTCATGGCAGAGGCACCTCCACGTTGGCAGCAGGATAATGATGGAGCCTCCACCACGAGGCTTCTGAGCGCAGAGCAAAGGCAGTGGCCGCGTTGCTCGGATCCAAGCTCGATCCAAGCATCCAGCTGATCAAAGGCAGTGAGCCCAGCACAGCTGCTGCCAGCAAGGAGCTGTAATGAGGATTTTCACATGGACGGCCTCTGCACAGAGAATCCTGGTGATGGGTGTCAGCCTGCTCACCTGTGCAAATAAACAGGGGTAAATTAGAGCTAGGGAGGCAGGAGAGCAAGGGCCACGTGGAGAGAAGACTCTTGGCTCAGAGCAGTGGCAAATAGAGGGAAGGGCACATTTCTAGGCACACTCCATGGAGGCAGGGAGGGCTGTGTGTGCCTTGGGGACCATGCAGGCCCTTGCCCTGTGCAGCCCTGGGTCTGCTATCACACGCAGAATTGCCCACAGGAACCTTCTCATGCTCCCTCTCCCTGCACAGGGCTGGGACCCCACTGTGCCCTGTGGTGATGGGAGTCCTGATGCAGTTCTGGGGGTCCCAGGGCCCCCTCAACCCCCACCTTCTTTCTTTCTGGCTGGTGTCTACTTTTAAGACTCCTGGGAATGCTCAGCTCCTCACATCTTGCACTGACCCAGTTCTTGCTCGTTGCCATGGAGAGCTGGACCTGATTCCATTAACGGTCCCTGTGTTGCTCCTGACCAGCTCTGGGGCATGGAGGATGCTGTGGTGAGGCTGGATGAGAGGTGTTCCCAGGAGAGGGGCCAGGTGGGATTTGCAAGTCCCAGTGAAGAGTTAGAGTTCCTGGCTGCCTGCCTCAGGTGTGCCAGGATGGTTCCTGCAGCTCAGGACGCATTCCTGCCACTCAGGATGGGTGCCTGCAGCTCAGGATGGGTTCATGAGGTTCCCCCAGCAGCCATTTTTAGTCTGAAACACAAACACTGATGTCCTCACCACCTTGCTGCCTGCATGCCTTAAAATCCACAAATTCTTCAGTAGAGGCTTCTGTTTTCATTCCAGGTGTTGTCCATCAGAGCCAGACCAAGGATATTCCTACAAGAAATTTAACGATGCTTTGATGTGTCTAATGATCAGGAACAGTCAGTTTTAAGGGCTGGTGCTTCAGATGAGTATTTAAAATCTCAATTAAAGTTCTATTAAGGATTAATTCAGGCCAGCTCACTCCATAACTCGTTTGCCCTGCATGGGCTGTGAGCAGCTCAGGGTGTAATTTTCTGTTCTGTCATTTTATTAAACTGTTGGGGTTTTTTTCAACCTGGAGTAAAATCACCAGTTAAAGGAATTTTCATTCCTGGATGGAGGAGCTGCAGTGTGTATTCCCAGCAAGGATTATCCCATCCCAGGGCAAGCCATTGCTGCTGCAGACAGGGACAGCTGAGGCATTTTTTGATGTCTCTTGCTATATAAACCCAGTAATTTCTCCTGTCTCTTCACCTTGCAGCTCCCCAGAGAAGGGTCAAAGCCCTAGGGCTCCCAGGAAGTGGATTTTTAAGCTTTGACTATTTTCTTTTATTTCCTATTTCCTGAAATCCAAAGGAAATGAAAAACTAAAAAGCCAAACCAAAACCCTCAGCCCCCCCTAAACTGCCATTAGCCCTCCCCAAGCCATGCCACATGCTGTTTTTTCCCCCTCCTGGCTGACTTGAGGAATCCATTTCTGGTTTGATTTGTGGCATTTGTGACACTGAAGCCTCTCATGTTTAAAGCACATTCCTGGAAAGCAGCGGCAAAGCTCATTCCATCATCTCAGTACAGCCTTTCCCTTTCCATGAAGCAACCTGCCACATCAGTGATGGTTTAAAATTGGCTTTCACAACAAGAGATGCTGTTTCCTAGAAACCTGAGGCTGATAGTGAAAGGCACCAGATAAAGCAGTAAGAGAGAGGGTAAAGCTCCTTCCCAGGCTCCTGCCTGCACCAGCTGCTTCAGGAAAATAGGTGACCAGGGATTACATCCTTTTAACAGAGTAAAGCTTCCCCTGGTTTCCAGGGACTGTGACAGAGACCTGGGCAAGTCCCAGTGTTCGTGAGGGCTGGAGTAGCTGGTTGTGCCTGGGGAGAGGGGGAGAAGGGGGAATCCAGTGGTGGTGATGGCTCCCAGGGGGTTTTGGGCATGGTCAGAGGACATGGAGGTGACACTGCCACGTTTCTGCCCCTGCACAACCCAGTACAGGCAGAGCCTTTGCCACCTGCTCTCCACTTGCCCAGTGCCCCCAGTCATGCCTGTATCCTCAGCTGGCACTGAGTGCTGTCCCAGTGCCTGGTGCTCCTCATCCCATTGGATGTTTTGGGCTGTGGTTTGTTCTGGAGATGGGTTTCAGGGTCGGGATAACGAAGCACAGCTACGGGAAGACTGGAGGAAAACGCACCCCTCCCTCTCATGACTCGTTTCCCCATTTAACATGGACAATGATCAATATCCGAAGTGACAGTGTGGAGCTTCCCCTCGTTCCACTGAGGTGGAGGGATGAGGGATGGGAGGGTGTGATTCCCACCCCCCCTGGGACCCTGCTTTGCCAAGGTGTGCCTTTCCCAGCAACTCCCAGCCCCGCCAGCTCTCCAGGCACTGGGCTAACATCCATCCTGGTGATTCACAGCAACACCCACTCGCAGCCTGAGCCACCGAGGCTGGAATCCTGCCAGCAGCATGAGGGGAGCAGTCAGGCACATCTACAGAGGATCCCTGCCCTTCTGCCACCACAGGGTCCTGTTGTGAGAGCTGGGGTGACTGAAAGGGGATGGAGGATTTGGGAGCCCAAGGCTGGGGCTGAGAGAGGGCAATCCCTGTGTCCTCCTTGCTGGCTGCCAGTCTCTGTGCATGGCAAGGGCTCTGCAGAGGGCAAGAATGTCATGCCTGGTGCTCAGCCCCACCACCAGCTCAGCCCCAAACTGCTGGGAAGGACAGGTCAGGTTCCATCCCTGCCCTCCCATAGCTCCGAGTCACTGGGGGAGGTGAGTGGGACCTGGGCTCCAGCAGGACCTGACTGGCACTCGAAGATGTCCAGGCCATCCAGGACTGGGGAAAGGCAGGCTGAGGCACTTGGTGTCCTGATAAATTGGACAACGTGACATCCTCCAAGGGCTGGCAGCAGGGTGAGCAATATTTCTGTGTACAGATGTTTTTGGATGGAGCTTTATCACTCTGTGCTCCCAACCACCCTGCAGGTTCTTCAGGCTGGGCTGCTGTTGGATGGTACCATATACCCCCTCTGCTCCTGTGGATGCATGGCCACATGTAAGTTTTGGCAAGTTTGGAGAACACCCTGATGGCCAAAGAGAAGATCCCAGGACTGTCCCCATCTCATGACCTCCCCACACACAGACATACCCAGTAACATATATATATTATATTATATTTTATATATATATATATATACACATTAACAAAGAAGTTGCCAAAAAAAAACCCCAAACAAACAACCCAACAGAAAGGGGAAAAAACCCAACAGAAACAACAACCCTCCCCCCAGTTAAAACCGAAGCAGGAATGTTACATGTGGAAGCGGAGGCTGAGGGGAGCCAGGAGCTCACACATCCCAAATCTGTACAACTGTGCCACCAGGAGCAGAGGAGCTGGCAGCAGCACCCCAGACCACCCCCATGTCCTGCCCCTGAATCACGTCCTGAGCAGGGCCCTGGGATGGGGCTGCTGCTCCCCAACTCCCGGTGACACTCGGAGAGCACCAGGAGAGGACAATGTGGGTGACTGGGAAAGGCCCCCAGCCCTGGAGCTGCCTGCTCAGGGTGCAGGGCTCCTCCAGCTCCCCCCGCCGCCCTCCCGCCTGGCCTTGTCTGAGACGCCTGTGGGGGGTCCCTGTAATTAGTGCAATTTCATCACGTGCAAACGTCACGTTAAGGGCTCATGGCCTCCGAGCTGAAGATGTGCTGAGTCCTCCATGGGCCCATCCCAGTGGTGCCAGTGCCAGCAGGGAGCTCGACTGCCAGCGCCAGCATCCATCTCCAGTGCTTGGCATCCGTCTGAGAGTGACACAGCATGAGCAGCCCCAGATGGGACCACAGCATGGGGAAGGGACTTCCATGACAGTTTCCCATGAAAAACATCCAACTGAGAAGGGTGACAACCTCCCAGAATGAACCAGGGTTGTGTGCTGGGCTGTGGGGACAGCAGATGCACCCCTGCTGCAACTCCACTTGTGCCCTGGAGCTGGGAGAAGCAAACGGACCTGCTCCGTCCGCTCAGCAGGGAGGGATGTATCCCCCGTGCTGGCCCTGCCAGGCACCACTGGAAAGCAGCCTGGATCAGAGAGAAACCCCTCTTGGATCAGCAGGGCAGGCGGCAGATCCTTCCCCAAGGTGCCACCTGCCTCCCTTTCCCAAAAACTGCAGCCTGGAGACACGGAGGGATGCCATGCTGCTCTCTAACCTCTCACTCCCCAGTTTATACACACAACCAGGGTTGCCCTGCCCCAGGCACTTGCCCCTGTTAAACTTCACATGGTTGGTGATTGCCCATCTCTCTGATTTGTCAAGGTGTCTCTGCCCTCGAGGGAATCGACAGCTCCTCCCAGTTTAGTGTCATCAGCAAACTTACTTAGTATTGCTTTGAGTCCTGCATCCAAGCTGTTAATTAAGATGTTGAAGAGAACTGGGCTGAGGATGGAGCTCCCAGTAACCAGAGCATGGAGCCCCTGGGGCTCCAGTCCATTGCCACAGAGTAAACAGGATGTCTGTGCTCCCTCCACCACTGAATCATGGAATAGTTTGGGCTGGAAGGGACCTTTAAAATTCACCCAGTCCAATCCCCTGGCATGGTGGAGAACAAACCAGAAGCCAAGATCTGGGGTCATAAATTGAGATTTGGGTCATAAAACATAGAAATGATCTTCAGGCAGGACTCTACTGTGGGCTCAGAGCAGGAAGATGAGTGTTTTTCTGCTAGGACACCAGACAGGGCACTAATGGAGCAGGGCACCACCGTCTGCACCCCGCACTGGGAAGGAGCAGCTGCCAAACCTCCATGCCAGGGGCCGAGGCTCCTCAGGGATGCAGACCTCCCTGGCTACTGGGGAGCTCCCAAAGCAGGAGATGTGGTGAGGTGGGGATCTGTGGCTCTCCCCTGTGGGACTGCAAACCCAGAAAATGGTTCAGGAACATGCCAGCTGCAGCATGGACAGGCAGTGGGACCGTCCTCAGTGCTGCCTCTGCTCTCAGAGACCATTTGCCACATAATCACCCTCCTCACCACATAACCAGCATCCACCACATAACCACCATTCATCCACCACGCCAGCGCTCACCAAGCCCAAGGGCTCCATGCATTATTCACCCCACCAGGGAAGCTACTGAGCCTCAGCCACACAGAAAGATCTCCCTGGAAAGCGCTGCTCAGTGGCTGCAGTTCCCCAGACCAGCTGCCAGTGGGCTCCAGAACCCATCCTTTCTGTCCCAACCTGTGCCTCATGGGACACACGAGCTGTCCCCTGACCACCACGGCACCTCAGGTCACCTCAAACCCCACCCCAGCCTTTCCAGCCCCTGAAAGGAAGACAGGTGACAATCCACTTGGGGAGGGACGGGAGCCACTGCCAAGGTGCTGCTCCAGCTGCTCTCACGCACGCCAGAGCTCACCACCAGCAGTTTATTTCCAGCTGCGGTTTGAGGTTCTTCCACTTTTCCCTTAAAACAAGACGGAGCTGGTTGTGGATGGCGCTCGATTGCTGGGGTGGCACGGTGGCTCTCTGGCACGGCTGCCAGCAGGCTCCCAGCAGGCGGCTCCGACCACCAGCACCCACCAGCACAGCCAGAGCTGCCACGGGGCACGGGTAGGCCTGGGCAGCCTAGTGACAGGCTTTCATTCCTGACACGTACGGGGACTCCTGGGGCCGGCAGTTACACTCCTGCTGCTCGGGGTAATCAATGAAATCCGGGGCAGGCAGCCCCGAGAGGATCATCAGGGATTTGTTCCAGATGGTGAAGGTGGGACACACCGGCAGGATGAAGGAGACCTCGAAGGTGTGGAGGTGGAGGGAGTTGGCCGGGTCGTAGAAGGAGAGCGCGTTGTTGTCATAGTCCAGGAGGACGCCGAGGCGCTTCATCTGCGGGTGCACCTCCACCAGCATCTCCTTGTTGTTGTGCCGCACCACAAAGTTGTTGTTGCAGCGGGAGAAAACCCAGGAAGAGGAGTTCTTCCCGATCCACTCATTTTTGGGGGCCGACTTGTAAGCCACGCCGATGGCGTACCTGCAGGAGAGGAGAAGCTTCGCTCAGCACCCTCCAGCCCCCAGCGCAGGAACGAGCCCAGCTCTGACAGCTGTGACACCCTGTGCTTCCAGAGCCCACCTGTCTGTGGAAGCAGCACCCTAGGCTTCCAGAGCCCACCTATCTGTGGAAGTGGCACAGCAACAGCTTCACATGCCCAAAAAGCATATGGCAGAGGCTGGACTGGGAAAGCAACTCCCTCCCAGAGGTGGTGCTTACCAGGTGGAGGATCCCACCACGACCTCCCAGTAGTGGCAGCCGCTGTCGATGAAGACGTTGCCGGCTGCCCCGTAGCAGCCCGTTCCACTGAACCTCTCCGGAGTGTGGCTCTTCTTCAAGGAGCTCTCATCCTTCTCCATCTGCAGCCCATCGTTGGAGATCTTCAGCTTCTTGTGAGCCATCTTGGGGTCCAGCTTGAACGGCTGACCTGTGGGGAGGGGACACATGGATTAGGATCTGTGTTGTTAGCATCACTGTGCAGGGAGAACGTGGCAGGAAAGGTCTATAATGGGTTCTCTGGCCATCCTCCATGAGCCACAGGTTCCCCCACCAGCTGAGAACTCTGGATTACAGATAATCCAGTAGGGACAAAAGCAGCACCTTCACTCACCTTCCAGGCCAAACAGAGGCAAAGGAGGTGAAACTTGAAAATGCAAAGAGAAATGAGCTGCAGAGTGAGCTTTCTGCTCCTGGGAGAGGATCCGGACTGGAGAGCAGCCAGGATGGGCAGCACTGTTAGGAAGGGCTGCATTGTCCTGGCAGGGATCCCCAAATGAGGGGCTGGGGATGCCCAGAGTCTCCTTATTGGGCATTACCCCCTTCCAATGTTTATTCCCCCTTCAAGTAGTTTCCTTTTGTCCTCCGCTAATGATGTAAAATGTAGCAGAAACAAGGTTGTCCCCTGGTAATGGGAACGGCACTGAAGATGCCATCAGGATGGATGCACTGCGAGCCAAACCCGGGCAGGGCGTGCAGCCTGAATTCCTGAATGGATCTGCACACTATTACCAGTAAGAGGAGTGACATAAGCACAGGAAAGGGACAGACCAGTAAGTGCTGTGCTAAGTGCAGCCCCGTGGCACTGAGCCCGCCCCTGAATCCCATCAGCTGTTGGCACAGACTGCTCCTCCCAGTGCTCAGGCTGCGGTTATGTGTTACAGGGCACATAGTCGGGGTCTTCTCTGTTATATGTCCGTATTTCTCTGCTCCAAACTGCTTGGAGAGGACAGTCCAGGGTGTGGAAGCACATCCCAGGCATTGGGTCCAGCCCGTGTCCAGGAGAGCCGGATGGGAGGAGAGAGCACTGGGCCAGCAGTGAGTGCAAAGCCTGGGCTTCCTCCACAGTTAACAGAACTGAGGTTGGTGGATTCTGCAGGTCCCTGATGCTGGCTTGAAACCCAACTGCATCTCCTCTGTAACACTACCAGCACACAAAGCTGAACTGCTTCCCAAAGGACACGTGCTGGCTGTGCTGCTTGCAGGGATAACCCCATGCAGCCCCACGAGCACCTGCCCTCCCTCATGCCAATAAGCGCCATCGCTCTGGGCACCAGCTCCCCCACACATTTCACCATCAGGGTTTCTCCACAGGCTCCAGGTTTTGGTGCCATGCAGCCTTGCTGGGGCACAGGTGGGGGTCAGGAAAACACTTGTGTACACAGACATTCTCAGCATGGAGAGTCGGGGGGTTGGTGACTATTTCCATAGGGATTCACCTTCCTCAGGACAAAGTAAACGGCAGCTGCAGAAAACACCCCAAATCCTGCATGTTTTGCTACCTGAGGGGTCCCTGACCTGGCTCTGGGAACGAAGAGCTGTTTCTTCCTGCATGCTCCCACTTTTCACAATGGACATCAAGTCCCAGCAAGGAGAGACACCCACACCACTCACAACGGGGGCCCTGATCCAGGTCTGGGAACCCCTGCAAACAGCTGGGCAAGGCTGGGGACCCCCGGAACAGCCAGGAGCCCCTGCAAACAGACAGGCAAGGAGAACCACAGGACAGCTGTGAACCCCTGCAAACAGCTGCAGCATCAATAACAACGAGGCTGGAGAGCTCTCAAGTGCAACTGCAGAACGAAGCTCCTCCGTGCCGTGCTCCGATACCTGATGGTAGCTCGTGTTGGTTTTCCTTGGAGTCCAATTTGCTGGATAATTGAGTTGAGAGGCCTGAAAGTAAAGCTGCAAATTGGGATTGACCTGCCCCCTCCTTCCTCTGGCTGCTCTGATCTTTCTGCCGTATCTTTTCCTGGCAGTAATGCAAAGAGACAAGCTCTGAGGAAGTGAGGTATAAAAATACTTGGCTCTGTCAGGAGAGAGACACTCACAGCCCTGTTTCCGAAGGCGGCCCCTCGTTAAGGTCAGTGTGAAGAACTGGAGCCCAGCCCTTGTCACTGGTTTGTGCTGCCATGTCCTGGACTGGGTGCTCGAGCCGCATCCACAGGCAGTGTCTGCGATGGGCTGGGACAGGTCAGAGGGTGCTTCAGAGGACACAACCTGCTCCCATCCCAAAATATCTCCCTGGCACTGGAAAACCATAGGCTTCACAGAGTTCTGATGATCCCAACCTCAAATCCCCAGCATGGGAGCTGCCAAAGGGAGGGGAACTCCCACTACACGAGAGGGCAGAGCTGCCCTCCCTGCCCAGTGCCACCCTCACTGTCCCCTGTGCCCCAGGTCACTGCACCCCTCCAGCCCCACAACCCTGCCTGGCAGAGAGCTGGGGGTTGAGATGATTTGTCTCGTGATTAATGGGTATGTCCTGGGCTGGTCACTCAGATAACCTTTATCCCATAAATTCAGCTTGCTGGGATATTCCTGATAGCCTTATTCTGGTCATCCCTGCACGGGGCTTGGGAGCTGTGGGGAAACAGCCAGCTTCAGGGCTGGACACAGCTGGGTACAGTGGCAGTGTCCCTGCTCCCACCAGCCATTCAGGATGCCACCCGTGGGGCACAGGACACCCCACAGAGCGAGCCTGTCAGCACCATCCCATCCTCCCTGCAGACATCAGCTCCAGGGAACAAAGCTGCAGCACTCTAATGCTGAGTCATCAAGTCAGAGGAAAGCCATAAATCTATCCAAATCTATGAATCTCCCCACAGATTCCCTGTGGGCAGCTTCTGTAGGGATCATCCTGCTCCTTAAAAACATCTGAACTAACATGATCCAGTCTCTAACAGGGACTCCAGAGCCCACTGCTCAGGCATCAGACCCACTCCTGACATCTTGGATGGGACGTGGATGGAGCCATCCTGTACCACACTGAGGTCTCGCCAAGAGATGCAGAAATCAGGAAAAGAGAGAATTGCAAGGGAGAATAAGATCAGGCTGCACTGGTCAAGGCAAAGACTGTAAAACCCACCTTCCCTGCACTTTATTTATTGCCAGAGCCAGGCCTGTCCCTGCATTCTGGCACTTTTATCCACTTTTGGACACTTGCTCCTAAATATGTCCTGCTCAGGTCCAGACTCAGCAGAGGAAGGTCCCCCAGTCATTAAACCAAACCTGTTCTCCCAAGCTCTTCTGCTCGGGAACACAGATTTAGCGCCAGCACTGACAGCGCCGACGCTGCGGAAATCAATGTGTCCTGACACTGACCTTCTGGCAATGGAGGGATCTCTCCAGACATCACTTCTGGAACAGAACAGGCTGTGAAATATGCTAATGGGCCGTCTCTGTGTTGAGCTGCTGACTTTTCCACCAAGGTTACAGCAGTGGGAAAGCGTGGGTGTGATGTCGTCTGGATGTTGTACACAGGAAAAGGAGAGACCCTGGTCCCAAATACAGGCAGGGGGAATGACCAGTGGGGGCACGCTGGGGATACAGCACAAGGTGGTGGCACCAGCAGACACCCCAGAAGAGCCCTTGTCCCCCAAAGCTGGCCACAGGAAAGAGTACATCAATTTACATTATACTTATATATATGGCTAAATCAAACCTTCAGGAATTCAGAAGTTTCCACAAACACAGATGGCAAAGGAATGCCAAACTGGTGGCGAGGAGGGATGTGTGCCCATCACATGCCTCTCTTGCCCAGAGTGGGAAGAGAAGGATCAGTCCTTGTGGAAGGAGCTTTGGCACCCACAAACCCACACTCACACATGACCTGTGCAGCGCCTCAGGTGAGGCTGCTCAAGGTTTCGAACAGGCGGGAAGCTGCTGCAGACACATCCCTGTAACAAGGGGAGCTCAAAACCAGATGAGGCCCTTATCAAACTGAGTCTGTCTCTGAGCAGAAGCCCTCCATGCACAGCTCTGGTGACTGACACTCAGCTAAAATCCCAGAGAGCAACCCCCATCCACCGGGAGCTGCCGCCACGGCCAACCACCCTCGCTCCTGGCTTCCCAAGCCGCCTATTCCTCATTCCCAGAGCGAGCGCCTTTCAAAGCTGGGGAAGTGCTGAAAAACAGCAGCCACAGGAGGGATAAATTTTTAATAAACAGGCGGATTGGATTGGAGTTTGCTCCTCAGCAGCTCCCTCAGCCCCACTGCCTCGATGTCGTTTTATTCAGTTTAACGTCGCGCAAAGAAAAGGAGGAGGTGTAGGTGACAAATCATCACAAAAGCCTCATCCAGGTAGAAGCCATTGCTGGGAGAAGGGACAAATGGGAAAAGGGAAAGGTTGTGCTCACCAGGGCTGTGCAGAGACATGGGATCACCACAGAGATGTGGGCACAGATCAGGCAGTGAGCAGGAGTCTGAAGAGCCAACTTATTCCCTCCTCCACCACCACACACTGTCCCTCCTGTGGCATCCCCCCAGGCTATGGGTGCCAGTGGGAAAAGGTTTTCCACTGCAAACCCAGGAGCTCTGTCTCTGCCAGAACCACTGGCCTCTGAGTTCAGCTTTCCCTAAACACATTTAACCCTCCTTGGCATCCTTGGGTTATTGGAAAGTGCAACTTCTGCTTTGTGTATGGCTGCAAGTCCCATCCACCACCATGGAGACACTTTTCAATGCCCTCACAGCTCCCTAAAATCACAACCTGCGAGCTCAGCCACACACAAGAACACAATTGCTCTGGGACTCTCTGCATTAGCCCCAAAAAGACCAGGGATGTAAAGCCACCAGAATTATGGACCTTTGTGGCCTCTTAAGAGCCCAGGGATGGGTGCTGACAGGAGCACAGGGCACTGCACGGGGCAGCAGGAGACCATCCCCGAGGCAGGGAAGGAGCAGAGGCACCGAGGGAGACGGGCACTTCAATAATTTAAACACCCCGCGGTCTCCATCCTGTGCCAACCGCTGCAGGCTGACCGGGAGCGCTCAGCCATACCCCTGGAACCCCAACACCCATGAAACTCTCCCCTCCCCATCTGCCACGGCCAGGTGAGTGCCCGGGCACCTACTGTTGGTCTTGAGGCGGGCGGGCTCGCTGTTCCGGCTGCCCGCCTGGTTGATGGCCTTCACCAGGAAGATGTAGCGGGTGCCGCTCTGGAGCCCGTGCACCGTGTAGTGGTTCTGCTTGATGTTCGGGACGATCATCCAGCTGTCCATGGAGTTGTAGAGACCTGCAGTGCGGGAGAGGCGGGGAGAGATTTATTGCCAGGGAAGGGCAGAATACAAAGCCCCCTGTGCTGCTAAGGCAGAGCTCACGACCGCGCGGTCCCCCGGGAGGATTTACCGCCTGCCTGGGAGTTCAGAGTGCCTGCAGGGAAATTTCCTGAGATGATGAACCCCAGCAACTCAGAATCTCTTTTATTATCACATAAAGGCAGTGTTGGTGAGGCAGAGCCAGGGTTGTCATGCTGGCATCTTGGGATGCTGCTGTGGGAAGCGATGGGGAAAAGGTGCAGAGAAAGGAGAATTCAGCCAGTGGCACCTTCCAGCCAGGGCAGATGGCAGAGGCGGCTGCTGGTGCCAAGGAGGGGGTGATGCTCACGATGATCTCACTAGCATCCTATCCTCACCCCACTATCATCCTCTCTCATGTCTCTGCTCTCACAGGACAGCCTCTCTCATGCTCCTGGTCCACAATATGGAATTCCAGAAGTAGAAAGGGATGTATTTGCACTCAAATCAACGTGTTTGCACCTGAATCCTGCTTGTGCCTGGTGCTCAGTGCTCCAGGGTGGGAAGTAATAATCCATGGCCAAGGGATGCTGATGCTTCAGCTCCCTGGGCAGACTAATCTGCAGAGCAGTTCAAAGAAAATGAGCTCTCAGTGAAGGGATCCAGATGCCTGGAAATCATTCAGGAGCCTGAACTCTTTCTGGAAATGGGAGGGAATGAAAAATCCAAGACTGTGGAGGTGCCAAGCCCGACTGCTGCAGCGGTTTGCAGTGTTGGAGCTCCAGGGCCTGGCATGTATGGAAATGGAGTGTTGTACCTCAGGTGGGGTGACACAGTGCTCCAGGAAAGGGGAAAAGCCCTACACAGTGCCACCGAGGCTGTTCCTGCCACCAGCATGGCTAGCATAAGGATCACCTGCAGCCAGCATGAGCACCTGAGCAGCCAGGGCTGTGGGACAGGGATCCTGCAGGGGCTGGGGGGAACTGGAAGGATGGGGCAGTGAGAGCCCAGGACCCACCACAGCAGCAGTGCTAAGCTTCCTGGACACAGCTCTGGGGCAGCTATTGCAGCACAGGGCCAGGGCTTTGAACGAAAAGAGGAATAAGGAGGAGGCTTGGAAGCAGTAGCTGGAGGCTTACTGGAACTGGTGAGAGGTGAGGAGTGGGTTGTGAATTCAGGGTGACTGGAGGGGGTGTTTCAGCATGTGCAGGGCTGGGAGGCAGGAGCTGGGAATGCTCCACACCTCCTCTGCAATGACTTCCATGGGGTGTTCATTTATCTCCAGTGGCTGGCTCAGCCACAGGACAAGGGCAGGTTGCAGTCCCTGTCAGCCTGGATTTGGTTTAGAACACACATGGGAATGGCCGAGGGGCACAGAGCAATGTGATGTGAAGTAGAAAATAAAACAGATGTGATCCTGATTGCAGCCTACACACAGAGCTACTCCCGTCAGAGGACACAGCTTCCAGCCTGGCACTGGTCGCTGTCACCTCCCTGCAGGAAGGACCAGCTGGGGATCCTCCATAAGGAAGAACAAAGTCGCTGAGAGATGACAGCGGGAAGGATTCGGCCTCCCAAGCAGGCTTATTTCCCAAAACAACCACAAAGAGCTTGGCCTTGAAGACTGAGGGCTCCTACCCTCGCCAAAGCATAAAAAAAATCCTTTTTATTGCAGCATTCGTCATCCATAAAAACGTCCGGCTCTTGCTGAGCTCTTGGCTTTGATGGGAGTGTGAAGGGGATGGGTTCCACAGGCCAACTGTGTGCTCCTTGGAAAGGTATTTCCTCTCCTGGTCAGCCTCCCGGACTCCTGCTCAGTGTTCCAGTGTCTCTTCATGCACGAGTTCAGCCAGGGCTCACACGCTCCCATCGCCCGGGCTGTGCTATTCCGCTGTGCTATTCCAAGGGACGACACGTTATTCATTTTCTCCTTGGAGATTTAACTGATGTTTTCTTCACTCTTCTAGCAAGAGCAACCCAAGTTGGCTAAGAAGGACACTCCTGACATGTGCCCCTCAGGGCTCTCCTCCAGCCCTGCTCTTGCTGTTCCTCTCCCTGCAGTCGCCGCAGCTCCCCCTTCCCAGTGCCTGAGCCAGACCCCAGAGGTGGGCTCATTCCCAAGTGACTCATTCCCAAGTCCCTCGATGGATGGGAGTCCAAGCCATGTGTCCAAAGCAGCGTTTGGGGAGAGGTGGGAGCCAGATCCTCCCCCAGCATGGGCCCAGGGCAAGGGCACAAGCTGCAGTGGGGGAAATCCAGATTAGAAAAGGGTAAAATCCGTCTAGCTGAGGGTGGGGAAGCACTGAGTGTTCCATCCCTAGACAGTTCTTGCTCCTCAAGGAGCAAGCCCTGAGCACCATGTCAGCCCAGCTTGTGCAGAGCTGACTCAGGGACCTTCAGGTGTCCCTCCCCACTGAAACCACTCAATGACACCAGCACTGTCCCTGTCTTGTCCTTGGCTGGAAGTGCAGTGGACATGGGGCCGGTGGTCATCCAAAAGCACAGCCAGAGAGGTGGTTGAGCTCTCCAGGCTTCCAGAGAAGCAAAAAGTGCTGGAGATAACACGTTGTAGCTGGGAAGAAGGGGAGAGTTGAGCAGGGCAGATCTGGCTGTGGCAGCACCATTACCCTACAGCCTCTGACTGAGAGGAAACGCATCATCTTGTTTCCCAAAACAAGGGCAAAGGCTGGGCTGGGGCTGGGGAGGTGAGATACAGCTTGGAAAGCCACAAAGAACTTTCTCTGGCAGCTTCCTGCACATTCCAGAGTGCACTGAGCAGCCTTCCGGAGCCGTGACATCGTGCTCCCAGCACCAGCATCCTCCCAGCCAGTGGGACAGACTGGTGGCGGCCCAAAATGCCTGAGGCACCCTGTCAGCACTTCCCCCAGCGGCAAGGGCTACTAGGGAAAACCAGGAATAACACTTTCTCACAATCCATGGCACATCAGCAAGATCCCTCCTCGGTCCTCAAATCCCATTCCTGTCAGGCAAATTTGTGGCGGTGTGGAAAAACAATTAGGTATGGCAGTGATTTGCACGAGAAATGACCTGGAGACGTGCCTCAGTGTTGTTACAGAGGGTTTATAAGGCATGTTAATTATCAGCCAGCGCTGCCTTGCCCCTATGATCCCAGATGTACGGACCTGGGAGCTGTGAGGTGGATGAGACCCTCCAATGTTCCTTGTGCTTCAACAAGCCAGGGCTGAGGGGCTCCGCAGGGCAGAGCAGCTCAGGGATGGACCCCCAGCACGGGCAGGTCTCCATCACTCTGACCGCTGCCCTTGGTGAATTCTTTGCTGCTGTTTCCTCCACGAATTCCCAGTCTTTAAACCACTGGGAACCTTTTCCTTACGGAATCACAGAATGGTTTGGGCTGGGAGAGACCTTAAAGATCATCTTGTTCCAACTCCCTGCCATGGGTGGGGAAGGCAAGGGACACCTGCCACTAGCCCAGGTTGCTCCAATGCCCATCCAACCTGGCCTTGAACACTTCCAGGGATGGGGCAGCCGCAGCTTCCCTGGCAACCCGGGATTCCTTCCCGAAGGGACCGCAGCCCCTGCAGCACGTGGTGACTTACTGATGAAGTTGGCCTGGCCGGTGAAGATGGTGTACTGGAGCTCGTAGGAGCTGACGCTGAACTCGTCCTCCGAGATCCAGTGCACGGTGATGGTGTCGTGCGAGGCCGTGCAGAGCTCCTCGCGGACCGACGGTGGGTTCGGTGCTGCGGGACGGCACAGACCACAGATTTCAGTCAATTTGGGCATTCCTTTCTTAAAAACCCAGTGCTTTTCTGCTCCCAGAAGGATAGAGACGGGCTCGCGGTGGGAGCAGAGTCTCTGGACACCCAGAAATCTCTCATTTTATCTGTCACTGTGTTTCAAACGAAATCAAACTTTTTAGTTTAACAAAGCATCCAGGGGTTTTGCTGCTCCATTGGGTCTGACACCCCCACTCTGAAATAGGCTGAGAACCCACTTCCAAATCCAGTTATTTCCCAGCACTGGCTGTGGAATAAGTATTTTATCCCATAACTGATCCGGACACATGTTTGTGTTAATCTTTCAGTGAAAGCTGATCTGCTTTGTGATAATAAAATCGGATTTGGGTGAGTGAGGATGTCCTTGCCTCCCTGGAGCTTTCATCCCCCCAGTGCTCCAGCACAGGCCAGTCCAGCAGCTGTTGCTGCTCTCAGACCCCCAAGGGCAGTGTTCAGTCTGTGCTGCAGCACCGTGGGGCTCAGCAAGGTTCTGCCCATCAGGGTTCATAATTTAGGACCAAGACACCCACGAAAAGGGCAGGAAAAGGGAAATGTTAAAGCACAGAGTGCATTAGAAGTATAATAATTGGTTAATTCACTGTTCCCTCCCTGTAATCTTTATGGATCCTTATGTAATCCTTATCCCTCTTGCATCCTTATGGGCATCAGACTCCTCCCCAGGTCATAGAGACCGTAATTTTTGAGCTTTCTGGACTTTTCTATGGGTCCTCCAGGAGCAGCAGAGTGAAATGGGAGGATGGGGACCCATCACTGTCTTGGGGACAGCACAGCCTCTGCTCTGCCACAGCTGACCTGGCCCTTGTTACTGGTTAAGTCTTAAAATACATCTACCAGCCCCCTAGTGGGGCATAGGGGAAGGCACTAAGGGGAAGATGTGGGGCACAGGGGCAGGGGCTGAGGGGAAGACATGGGGTTGTGGGGAGGACACAGGGTGCAGCCGAGGGCAATGTGCCTGTGCACTCACCCGTTAGATAATCCAGCCCCTCCAGCAGCTTCTTCTCTCTGGAAAAATCTAAAGCAAAGTTTTCAAAGGCATCATTAAAATTGATATCTGGTATCAGAACTTGTGAGGATGCAGTTGCCATGGCGACCCTGGAAGGAAAGAAGGGACCGTCAGTACGCGCCAGGGTGCACGTGTTTCCCGACGTGCAGGGGGGGCACAGGGGTGCAGGCAGCCTTGCTCTGATGTTCCTGCTGTCAGGAAACCAGCTGGCACCTAAAAACCACTGCCCAGAGAGGGTAGCCTAGCCTGGGGACATGTCCCCTTGGAGGTCCCAGCTTTGACTGGCCCCCAGGCTCCCTGTGGATTGGCATTCCCACCACTTTCCCATCCCGGTATTTCACAGTGTTTTTAGGACCAGCCATGCAACACCTGTCCTGTGAGGGATGGGAACCTGACCTCGGGATTTCTTTGAGGGCGGCATGGTGGGAGGCTGCAGGGGAGCCTGGGAATCTCTGGGGAAGGAACCTGGGGGGACAAAGCCATCTCTGGGCAGGAACCTGCGGCCAGGGGACAACTCCAGCATCAGTGTGCTGAGCCCAGCCCACCTCTCAGCCACGTTCCTGGCGGTCTGCAGGAACCGTGCGTGGTCGTTCTCCTTCAGGATGTGCTCGGCCTGGTTGATGAGGACCGTGGAGCGCTCAAGGCACTGCCGGCAGTTGGCAACCTGCTGAGCCAGCTTCCGCAGCTTCATCACCTGCCGGAGGAGCAGAGGGAGCTCAGCAGCTTGAAAAGCACAGAGGGAGCCCCATCCTGAGCCAGGGCCTGCTCACGGGGGCAAGAAGCATTGAAATGGCACAGGAATGTCCCAGTGGCTCCGAGGAGCTGTCTTTCAAGCTTTTTCAACTCTCCTGTGCTTTTGGTTGGGGCTCCTGGTAAAGCTGCTTCCCCTTCCAACCTGGAAATTGCTGCTCAGGTGTTGGAAGCAAGGGGGTACCCTGCCCAGCCCCGCCACAGACAGCACAGGGAGGGTACAGAGGTATCTGCAATGCTGCACACCTGCACCTTTCCACACCCAGCCTCTTTTCACTGGCACAGACGCTTATTACAGTCCCCAGGTAACTTTGGCAGCCAAGCCCAGTACGGCCAGTCCCTACATCCATCTCCCACTGGTGCAGTGCTGGGTTGGCAGCTCTTCAGTGCAGCTTCTGTGGTGGGTTTGGGCACTAATCCGTGACACTGCACCTCTGCCCAGGTGCCAACTGTAGGAAAACAACAGTTTGGAGCTTCCAGCTCCTCCCAAGCACGGCTTGAACTGGACAGCACAGCCTGGAGCCATCAGGGAAGAGAGTGGGAAGTGCAAGCAGACAGACAGATGGACCGGCAGACGGCACCGTTACATAAAATATGTTCCCTGGAGTGCCTGGGGTAGAGGCAGGATTTCAAAGCTCCCACTGAAGCCAGGGTGTCCCACAGACATGTCAGTGGCTCTCCTGAGTACGCCTGCAGCAGAACCTGCTCCCAAACTCTACCCGGGAAACATCTGTACTTGGGGCTTGGCTGTGGGCACTGCGGTGGGACCCCAAAGCACACCCAAACTCAGTGAGAACAACAAAGGGCTCATGGGGGCTCCCGTGGGCACTGCCCAGAGCTACAGCCCAGCCCTCCAGCCTCTCCCTGTCACACGTGTGGAACACAGGGGTTGCTGAGGCTGGAGAAGGGGACACACGGAGGCAGGGCCACACTTTTGTGGGAAAAACATCCTTGTTCTGGCTGCTGGAGACAAGCACAACACAGCACAGCAGGAGTGAGGTGGAGAAGTGGGCATGACCTGTGGGAGAGATCAAGACCACCAAAGACCCCTGAAGCCTCTGACCTGTTTCCAGAAAGGTCTGGAAAAATGGACTGCACATGAGAAGTGACTTGCACAGAAAGGGAGAAACTTCTCTCCAGGGCAGGGAAAACTTACCTATAAAAAGGTCCCCACACGAAGCCCAGGCAGTGCCCCCAGGACCCTGGACACCCTGTTGCTGGAACCAGGACTGGTGATCTCTCTTTCTTCCTCTCTCTCTCCCTCTTTAATCAATCTCCCTCTCTGTCTTCCTGTTCACCCTGCCCCTTTATCCAAAACCCAGCGCTGTGTGCTTATACTAGGAGATGACAGACTCATTTTTATCAATTTCCATGCCAAGTAAATTACTTGTAATTTACTAACAAAACTCTGTAAGCTTTTGCTGACCCTCTGACTCCTGCCATTCCTTTCAACCACAAGCATCTATGAATCTTGAGAGTTGCCTTCCCTTTTGGGGTGGCACATCACACAAAGAAACCACTGCAAAACACCTGGAACCGCTGGATGAAGGCTCCAAACACCCCTACAAAGAAAAGGATGAGAAGCAGCTCCCCCCTCAGCTGTGCTGCAATGCAGACTGTGCAGCCTCTGCTCTCTTTGTAGCGCTGGCTCCAGTCCTTCAGTATTAATTCCATATTATTCTATTAGGACCACGGTAGTTAAAAGCCCTGAGGAAGCTGTCTAGAGTGATCCAAGCCTCTGCACCAACTTGTCACGCTAACCCACACACTGTTCCTCCTCCAGCCACATCCAGCACACGCCTTGTCCTTGGCAGAGGAGCTGTGGGGCTGCAGCTGTGAGGGACACACAGATTTGGGGTGGCAGGGAGGGCAGCAGTAGCGAGGGACACCCGGATTTTGGACAGCAAGGAGATGAACCCGTGTGCACTGATGGCTGCCCAAAGCAAACCCTTCATGGTTGCAGCCCCTCTGCCCGTGGCTGGGACGTCCCAGCACCACCAGCTGCTGAAGTGCTGTGCCCAGAGAGGAAGGGAGACTCCACAGGGCAGGTGGGGACCTCCGGACCAGGGACACATGAGCCAGCCCCCCTCACCTTTGTCTCCTTGATCTTGACAGCGATGACCTGCTTGCGCTGGCGGATGATCTCCATCAGCTCATCACACTCCTCCATCAGCTTGGCCTCGTGCATGGCTGTGTTCACCTGGCCAGGAACAGCAACATGTGGGTGTTAGGAGGTACACACAACATACAGGTGTTGGGGGACGCACAACACACCCTCATGGCTGTGTTCACTGCGGTGCACACACGGAGCATGGGGGGATGTAGGCAGAGCTTCCAGTCCTCTGCCTGCAGGGAATACCAGTATCCCTGGGGTGGTGGACAGGACAAGACAAGACAGGACAGGGGGGGATGCACTTCATGGAAGAGGAATTGAGCCCTATCAATTAAAGCACACTAAAGGACAGAAATCAGCTTTCCTCATTTCATACTCCCAAATCCCTGTGAAACACAGAGCAGTCCAAAGGCAGCCCTGAGTGAACCACATTTTTGCTACAGGATCTTTTTTTAAACCTGGCCAGCAGATTATGCAACACTGGAGTGGGAGACAGCTGATGGTCTGCAAAGAGAGCTCCACAGAGGAAAAACAGCGTAAAATCTTCCCAATCTGCTGCACGTAGCAGGAGGGGGGGAATCAGCTCCAGGGTTTGGAGCCTGCAGCGAGCTGCTGTGGCAGTGCTGCTGTGCAGCCTGGCTGTGGAGAGCTGGCAGCACCCAGGTCCCTCGAGGCTGTGTGCCCATAGGGATGGCTGTCACCTCAACTTCCCACTCCCACTCTCATTCAGCTTCTGGTTCACATGAAGGTAAGGGATGATGAAGCAAGGCCTGTGCACGGCAAAGGGAGGGAAGGAAGATGCTGGGTCAAAGCATAGGAGGGGAGGTTGGAGCACCTCAGGTTGGCCTTAGGTCCAACCCCCTCACCAGCTGCTGCCCAACACTGGTCTCAGGGCTCAGGCCTGGAGCACTCTCCTTCCAGAATGGCTACAGGACAACACAAATCTGTACCCATCCATAACAAAAATCTGAAAACCTGCCCAGGGCAAGAAATCTGCCCTCAGCCATGCTCATGCTCCGGGAGGCTGAAGGCAGATGAAATCACAGAAGCCACGTAGTCCCTTTCCCAGTTGCCTTCTGCCCAAAAAGGGGCATTTTCAGGGCTGGAGTCCTCCCAAAGGGACAGCAGAGCATGGTGGGGGTACTGCAAACCAGCACTGCTCTGCTGGCAAATCCCTGGCTCAAGCACATCTGGACACTGGCCAAACCACTCTATAGGGATGAAACAGTTCCCAGGTAAATGCTGGACTTGGGTGAAGACTTGGCAAGTGCCATGGGAATAGGAACACTGGGCATGGGGGTGTAAGAAAGGAGAGAAAAAATACTTCATTCTTCTCAACCCTGAGGGGGAATGTGCTAGGGACAACACAGCCCCAGAATAAACAGCCCTGGAAAGAGCTCATCCTGCAGCTCGTGGGGATGAGGAATAGCATCTCAGCCCACAGTATGATTCAGGCACAGGCAAACCTCCTCCTTCACACCTTGGCAACTCGGGGATGGAGCAGAGAACTCCATCCCACCTCCAAAACCCTCGAGAGTTTTCTGGCTGTGGAGGAACCATGCTCTGTGGACACCACGAGCTCACACTGAGGTCAGCCCTGCGGCTGCCATGGCACAGAGGCCACCACCCCACGGTGCACATGTAGCATCTCCTGCTGCCCCCACAACATTAGGGTGGTACCACTTCTATTTTACAAACTCAGCTTCTCCACAGGATTGTTACCTGCTCTCCTTGGTCCACATTTCCACCACTGCCATGGGATTTGGCCCTTCCACCCTCTCTCAGTGCAGCCCCCCAGGCACCAGAGTCACTTTGACAGGCAGCACAGGCTCAGTGGCTCGGGGACACTTGCAGTGCCCCTGTGAACCCCTGTCTGTCGGGGTGTTGGTGGCACCATTCCCTGGCCATGCCATGGGACTTACACTGAACGTGGCTGACGGGCAGAGTATGTCGGGATCGCATGTGCCACGTCTGCAAATAGCTCGAAAGCAAAATTCCCTGGAATGAGACTGACAGGGAAAACAGGGAGGCAGAGATATTTTCTGCTTCACACTTTACTGTGCTCTCTGAGAAGATGCCTCCAAGGGCCCGGCTGTGCATTCAGCACGGCTGAGAAATGTTGTTTGAACTGTTATTTTAAGCAGAGCGTCTGACAAAGCTGAAAACTCCCAAACTCTGTTGGAAATGACAGCTTAGAGGTCTGAGACTCCCTGGATCAGACAGAAATACCAAATGGATTTCAATTCGTCCTAGGTCAGGTCATTAAGATATTGGAGCTGGATTCAAAGGAGGAGGTTTGGAAGGACATCCAGCCACTTCCCTGCTCCATCCCCAATGGGTTCTCAGAACTAAAGTGTGGCCCATCAGAGCAGCAAGGGCTGGTAACTGTCACCAGAGCTCTGCAAGGACGCCCTGGCTCCTTCTCTCCCTGTTAGCCAGCCATTTGCTGTCTGTTTTCCCAGACTCGCTCCAAGCCCGCTAAGCCCTGGGGAAGAGGGAGCCCAGGAGAGATAGCTCTGACAAAGCCATTCCCACTGCAAAGTGATGCATGGGCAGAGAGAAACAGGACAATGTGAGTGACACAGAGCATCAGCACGGAAGGCCAGCAGTGCTGCAGAGCCAAGTGGGATTTTTCTGCTCCTTATTTTGGCTGGAAGTTCAGAGCATCTCAGCCCCCTCCTCCTCCTCCTCCTTGCACACTGTGACAGTGGCTGCCAGCTGCTGGCAGCACACTCGGCCTTGCTGGCACTCACAGAAAGGGCTTCTACTCTCATTTCCTCTCGCCAGATCATCAGGACATTATTGAGGGAGCAAAGAACAAAGCGCTGACGCTGCCTGTAGGAACCACGGGGCTTTGGAAGCACCTTCCCAGCCCCAGAGCCCCAGCTGCTCTGAGATGCAGGTGGTGAAGGACAAGCTGCAGCTCCATGGACAAATCCATTCCAGGTGCTTCGCTGTGGGCAAGCAGTTCCAGCCAGCACATGCAGCATCCCTCGTCCTGCTGCAGCATGCCCACATCCCACCAAAGCATCCCTGCATCCTGTCATACCATCCCACTGCAGCATCCCCCACATCCCACTGCAGTATCCCTGCATACTGCCACAGCATCCCTGCATCCCACCACAGCATTCCACCATGCTGCTGCAGCATCCTCACATCCTGCTGCAGCATCCCTACATCCCGCCAAAGCATCCCTGCATCCTGCTAACTCCTGGGCTCACGGGGTGGCTAAGGGGAGGCGTGGGGAAGGTTGGGGTGCCCAAGGCTGAAGCAAACAGCTGTTGTGTTCACTCAGGCACTGGTAAATTCCCCCAGAATCCACAGCAGCAATCCTAGCAGCAGCCTGGGATTTTATCCTATGGGAAGGCGGTGGTTCAAGGAACAGCTGCATGCTTAGTGCCATCCAGTTGATGAACCCTCTTGGCAGGATTAGCGTCACCCAGGCTGCTGCTGAGCCCTGTTTCCATGCTTGGTGCCACCCAGTTCATGAGCCCTGTTACAGGCTCGGTGTCACCCAGCTGAGCGCAGTGTTCAGGCCCAGTATCACCAGGCTGAACCTTGTTTCCATGCTCGGTTCCACCCAGGCTTCCACCAAAAATACCTGCTGCCTCCAGTACAGGGAAGCTGGCAGGTCCTCCTGCCTGGAACCAGCCCAGCAACCCATGTCTCTTCCCAGTGGCTCCCAGTCATGCCATACTCCTTCAGACCCTACAGACCCTGGGAACCATCCCTGCATCTTCAATTGCTTGTGACTAAACTCCCCCAAGCAATTCAGCTCCTCCGAGACCTCAGCAATGCTTCCCCCCACATTCATTTCTGTTCCCAGGGTAGTCCCCAGGAAAGTACTCTGGGGTGATCCATGCATCCCATCCCTAGAGCAGAGAGATGCCCAGGACACTTCCCCCAGTCCCCTGTTGGCCCTCACCCACCTCCACTTGCTGGCAGATCTGTATCAGCTTGGCCATCTGGTTTTCCAGTTCGCTGTTGCGTTTAACCAGGTTGGTGAGATTCGTCTCCAGGGTTTGCTGCAGGTCCAGAAATGGGAGAAAGAAGAAAAACACAGAGATCAGTAAACCTGGAGTGTCCCCAGTCCCCTGCCAGCAATCAAGACCCTCCACCACCCACCACACTGCCTGAGGGAGCGACACAGGAACAACTTTGGGAAAAGGCTCTGGGGTTCCTTGGCAGCTCCTGCCCTCTCTTGTGGGTTGGGCCATGGGGGAGGCATCGAGCCCAGCTCTGTGGTGTCACCAGCTGGTGGGGACAATGTGGGGTGTCTGCTCTTTGGAGAAAAGATTTTGGCTGTTTTCATCCTCAGTTTTGTCCTGCACAGGATGAAGGAGATGAACAAGAGCCTGATGAGCCACGGGAGAGGGACATCTCATCTGTCAACCACTTCAACCAGAGCAGTGTGGGCACAGGCCAGGAGAGTCCAGCTGCCCTGCACTGTCCTCTCCGTCCCCAGCCATGCTGCCCTTTGCTTGCAGGAGCAGATCTCAGCCAGTGGATCCTGGCCAGTGGATCACAGCCAGTGGATCTCAGCCAGTGGACCACAGTAAGCAGATCTTGGTCAGCTGATCCCCACCAGTGAATCTCATCCAGTGGATCTGGGTCAGCAGATTATGGGCAGTGGATCACAGCCAGCAGATCACAACCCCAGCAGCACAGGGATCCCTGGGGCCTGCTTTGGTGCCTGCAGGCTGCAATATTCCGGGAGCAGAAGGGGATCCAGTGGAGCGCGGAGAAAAAGTCCATTTGAGGGGATATTGATATCCATGGCCATGTGGGGGACGCACAGTTTGTGGGTGTCAATTCCAGGGACACGGCACTGCCAGTTCCACTGTGCTCTGCTAACAGGAATGTTTCGTAACAGAGCGCTCGGTACCTGTTGCAGCGCTTGCTGGGAAGTGATATCCTATTAATATTTTAAACTCCAGGGCTGGAAGAAGATCCCTGAGGTGGTTCATTCATCCTCGGGTAGGAACTGCAGTCCAAGGCTTTGATCCAACTCCAGCAGACCCATAAACACGGCCCCCCCTCTGCACACATGGGTAATTGGGGGCTACTGAGCCAGGAGAACTTGAATCACAGGCACGGAGCACAGGCAGAGCACTCATTCCTGAAAAACCACTGGCTCCTAAAATACTCCAAGCTCGTTTGCAACCCTGCAAATTGCCAGCCAAGGGCGGGTGAGGCAGAACACAGGAACAGGCTGGAGAAATGGAATAAAACCCAGGAAACCTTCATTATGCAGGAAGGATTCGCAGAGCAGGGCTGTATGGATAATGGAAAAACCAGCTGCTCCCACCCTCCCCTCCTCACAGCCCAGTATCATAGCATCATTTCACTACAGCACTGAACATTTCACTTGCTAATTACTTCCCTCGTCACCACCTTGGTTGCGCTGAAGTCCCAGCTTTGAACTCGCACCAACCTGCTTTAATGTTTCAGGGTGTGATAGAAGGGGGTGGGGGGGTTGGGGGTACAGCTTTGAAGCACACGAGCCCAAACCCCATTTGCAGCTTTCTGAGTTTTCCAGGGGATGGCATCACTCCTCCCCATCCATAAACACGCACAAATCCTGCGCCTAAGCACCGATCCCTTCATCACACGTCCGCTGTGGTGATGCTGAACCAGTCAGCAATGGTTGCATAGCCCTTCACTGCTCCCCCAGCCCCTCACTGCTCCCACAGCCCTCCCTTGCTGCTCCTCCAGGCCCTCACTGCTCCCCCACAGCCCCTCGCTGCTCCCCAGCCCTTCTCTGCACCCACAGACACTCACTGCCAACCCTTCTATATCCTAGGAAAACACAGATGGAATGTTTCCATCTGTTTGATGTGCTGAAACAAATAAAATGGGCTTGAAGCCTGGATCACACCAGCTGGTTATTTTGTAGGTGTATATAAATTACAGCAATTACAGGGGTTGGGCTTTAATTGCTTTATAAAACACTCATCGTTTCCCCAAACCTCCACCTTCTGGCCTGAAATAGGTGATTTCTCTACAACTGGGGAGAGAAGTGAGAAAAACTGACTAAAAGGGAACATCATCATGCCCTTGAGCAGGAGTCACTGGTGCTCCATGGGGCCAAGTCACCCAGGGACAATGGGACCAGAGAGGGGATTGCCTGGACACAGACACAGGCACCGTGGGACAGAGGCTGAGCCTCCCCCATCCCGAGTGTCAGGGATCCATGGGATCAAACCCTCCTGGAGCTCCAACAGAGCAGCTCAGCACCTGCACTCCTTTACCTGTTGGTGACCAGATGCACAGTGAATCCATTCACACCCAGCCAGAGGGGAGGAATCAGCACAGACCTGAGAGCACCGATGCTCCTGTTTGTTCAGTAACGGGCATGATGGGCAACAACTCCATTTTCCTTTTTCTCCAAATACCAAACAAGCAGTTGGACTGAACATGGATTTCTCAAGACAGCTTCAGGAACTATAAATACATGGTGTTCTCCTGGTCCCTGTGCTTTGGCAAACATGATCTTGCCTGCACCTGGCCAGAGCTGCACTCCATGGCTGGTCACCAGCCCATCCACCACTCTGGAAGCTGATCAGCACTGGGAAACGCTATCAGCCTTGTGGCTTTAACCATCTGGGAGACAGAGCAGAGCAGGCTCTCAGTCCCAAGAAGGGGGGCAGGGGACAGGGTCCCTACATGTCACACAGACCCATTGTGTGAGGGTAGCTGAGTCCCCAGGGGTTCAGGCCATAAAACTCTCAGGTCTCCTCCAGTAGCAGGAATCCCTGGGTGCAGGATGGGTGGATCTGGAGCAACCTGGAGCTAGGGGAGCCGTAGGGATGGGAGCAGAGAGGCTGAGGGTGGCTGCTGGTCAGTGCTGCTGTCCCTCAGCACTGCTCTGAGAGGGGAAGGGCTCAGCCTTACATGGCAGCATGGAGGATTTGCTTTGGCTACACCTTGTCAAAGACAGATTTCCACATGTTCTTCATGGAAAGACAGCCAGAACTGGAGAGTATTACTTCCAGGATTTTTCTCATTGCTCTTGTTCATCCATAATCACTTCCAGTAATGGAGACAGATTGTTGTCCTGATCCCCCTGCACACCATAAACCCAAATCACATGTGCATCCACAAACCCATGTGCAGGCACACCTGCATCAGGTCAAATCTCCTCCAGAATGCTCACCACATGCCAAAGTGGCAGGAAAACTGGTCCCTGGATGCCACCACCATTCACCAGCCTCACCTGGATGGGGCAGGGGACAGGCACCTGCAGCGGTAGGCTGAGATTGCTGCCAGGCTGAGGATGCACAGTTAAGCCCTTCAGGCTGAGGATGTGCTGCCAGCTCCTGGCACAGGGCAGGATTGCTGCTGGGTGTCCTCTGACCCATTTGGAACAGCACAGGGAAGCAAAATGTCACCAGGACACTGCCCAAGGCATCTGGAGTCTGCCACAGGGATCCTGAGGGAGCTGCTCGTATTTCAAAACCACAAAGTTGTTGGTTGCATCCTGCAGCTGCAGTGACACTGGAGCCCTGGGATCCTCCACCCATGTCCCTGTTCCTGGCCAAAATGCTGCTTTGCACTGTGCTCCTGCCCCAGGCACTTGATGGCTCTGTGGGGATGAGGGCACCGATGTGGTTCATTTCAGGAATGCCGGGGTGGCTTTCCTGGGAAGCAGCAGCTGGACAGGGTGAGATGGCAGGTAGCTCCCACCAGGGTCAGTCCAGCCCCATGTGCTCTGAGGGGATTTTGGAGTAGGACAGTGATGGTGGGGTTTGTGCAGCATCATCCCACTCCACTGACAGCTGCCTCCATGCTAACAAACCACAGAATCACAGAATGGTTTGGGTTGGAAGGGACTCAAAGCTCATCTCATCCAACCCCTGCCACGGACAGGGACACATTCCACTAGACCAGGTTGCTCAAGCCCCGTCCAACCTGGCCTGGAACACTTCCAGGGAAATCCTGGGCAGCAAAGCACAGACCAGGCTCCTCTCCATGGTGGCACTGCACAGATGAGGCTCCTCTCAGTGGCCACAGCAGGTCCAGAGCCTGCCACTACTCCAGCACCAGTGGATGCTCCCACTCCCACATCTCCCTCCCACAGGCTGGACAGAGGGCTGAGCGTGGCACTACCCACCCCCAACCCTGGCAGAGGCACATCTCTCTGAGGTGATTCAAACTGAAAGGGGGGAAATTTAGGTTAGATTAGAAATTTAGGTTAATATGGAAGAAATTCTTGGCTGTGAGGGTGGGGAGGCCATGGAACAGGTTGCCCAGAGAAGCTGTGGCTGCCCCATCCCTGGAAGGGTTCAAGGTCAGGCTGGACAGGGCCTGGAGCAACCTGATCTAGTGGAAGGTGTCCCTGCCCATGGCAGGTGGTTGGAACAACATGAGCTTTAAGGTCCCTTCTAACCCAAACCATTCTGTGATTCCACAATTCTATGTTTAGAATCAATTCCCAGCACCAAGAAAAAAAACGCTCGGGGAAAAATATACAAAGCCAGTCAGCTGCTGGGCTTTGCTAAGGAGAATGTCCCCAGACAGTGGGACAAGTGACAGAGAGACAGGACTGAGCTGCCATGTGTGACAGTAATGCATTTTAAGTCACTTTGGAGCAAAACAGGCTGAGTAAGAGCTGAAATCTCTGCCAGTGTTCGGGGCTGCTATCACCCTCCTGGCAGAGCTGACCTAGAAACTGAGCAGCTCACAGTGGCACGGGACTAGTGGTGACTGATGGTGCTGAAGAGTCCAGAGCCTGAGCCAGGCAAAGGGGTGCTGGCAGTGACCCCTTGGCACGGAGGGGATGAGATGCCAGGGGATGCATTCGACCAACACACAAGGACACATCCGAGGGTACAGCAACATCCCCCCGTGTCTCCCACTCAGAGCGACTGAGAGCTGCTCCAAATCCATTCATTAGGTTTAATCCCTGATGACGTGTCAGGTTTACAGCCTGACTGGCTCTTTCTACGCTCACCTTTGCTTGGGAAACAAGTCTGGAGGGAAGTTCCCCAGAGGGAGTGGGGCTGGGGATGTAGGTGACCAGGGG